AATCCCTGATTTTCTTCCCCTTCCTTGTTTATTATTTCCATTAATGACGATTTATCACTTCATATTCGTTTTTATGAATTTTCCTTTTCAAACTTCTGCTTCATGGTTCAGAGCTTCAGATTTCAGTTCTCTGTATTTCCTTTTCTCGCATCAGTCATCAACCATCTGCATTTTTCTTCTTCCCAATCCTTTCAGTTCTTCTATTTTGCCTTCGACGACGTTGTGTGGAAGCACTCTTTTTGCAGGAATCCGATCCAGTTTCCTTTTCTTCTCAGCATTGTGCTCAGTATAGTCTTTTCTTTGCCCACTCTTTTCAGGGCTTCCTCATTTGTAATTTTGTCAGACAACTTTATTTTGTCCATCCGCCTCTAGCACCGCATTTCAAAACTCTTCAGATAGTTTTGTCGACTTTCCTTAGAGTCTATGTCTCTGATCCGTAGAGAGCTATGCTTCAGACATAACATTGTTCGGTTTTCGATATGACCGCAAGATCATTGGCGTACTAAATAAATCGAAATCTGTTTCCTCCGAACAGACTAAATCATTTTACGAACAAGTTCTGAAAGCTCTTAACATTTACCTAACGATCCACAAGGAATTTAAAGGCGAAACGTAGACCGTAGACGAGGCGGAGGTCGGGGTTGGGTTGGTTTGGGTTGCTATTAACATTTGTAGCTGTTTTATCGCATCGGGCAAATGAATGAGTTAGTCAGTCAAGTTCACTCACACGAAAACCGCGATAAATTTTTCATGTTTTTTTCTTCCTCGTTATATTCTTAACCCTACCCACGAAATCGATACGAAAATACTGCGACATCGAGACTTTTTAGCACGACGTAAATATTTTTGTAATAGAAACGTATAATATTATATATTTTGCTTAAAACTTAACACGTTTGTCATTTTCTATGAAGTTCTGCAAATTCAACACCTGAATTTGAAGGTGGAGGAGGCGAAGAATTGGGATTGGAAAATTCTCATACTTTGTCCCATGCTTATAATAGTTTCCAAGCATTCAATTTAAAAGACTTATGCATAATAGCCGGTGATCACTGTTGGAAACTTTATGTTGATATTTTGGTACGTGAGCGTTGAAGTTCGATTCTTTCTATAACATAGCTAGGTATTAAATTAAATATATTATTATTCAGGTTTTAGAATTATTGTGGTTTTAGAATTTTTTTGAGAATGTTGAATTTTTTCCAAAGAGATCGCGCTGCTTAGCTATTTTGGAGATAAAATAGCGTCGCAGTCTTACAGCTAAACATAATATATCTTGGTACATATTCGTGCTTATTATTAAAATTTTTATATAATATCAGATAATTTAATGTACATATCAATCAAATCAATTTTTTACTTCGTCAGTACAAGTAAAATGCTCTTTGAATCATTCAAATCGGAGGCTCCGTTCCCTCAAAAACTGAATTGATATTTTTTGCACTTTTTGTTTCGTATCATCGAATCGGCTGGACCTGCCTTTGCAAAAAAGCAATCAGTCTGTAGTCTGCAAAACAAATACACGTGATATCATACTATAACTATCCCTCCCCCACGTGATATTTTGTGATTATTTGTCAAAGCGCCCCTGTCCTTAAAAACCTCACGATTAATCGACACCCCCTAAGCCGTTGCTTTATGATTACCAAAAAAGTGTAATTTTATTTGTCCTCGTTTTGAAAATTTAAAGAAGTATCATTATAGAATCTGTATTCCAGCTATTTTCACTCTGAAACATCTATTTACTTATATTTATATCGATTTTCGAGTGAAAATGGATATCATTACTGCTTGAAATCAGCTGATCCAAAAAGCGTGTTTGAACCCTAGACCTTATAATTATTTATTAAATACGCAAGTGGGGGTTTTGTTCTGAAGTTTTACTTTTGTTAACTTTATACTTATTATTTACAAATTTTCTAACTTATTTAAACCTTTGCATAATACTTCAAAAGTTCAAACAATAGCTAAAAAATAAATCAGTTATTTTTAATAAATAATTTAATTTAATATTGAATAAAAAAATATTTGCCTGCAATTTTTTGACTTATTTTTATTTTATCATTTATTTTAAAAAAATTGAAAAATTGTTTATAACTTACTTTCTATACGTTTTAAACGATATTTAAGAGTATTCACCTGCCCCACAATAACTATTCATAGTTTGAAACTTGGTAAAGTTACAATTACGGCATTTACCAAATCAGATTTAATAGATGTAATTACAAAATGATATGTTTTCGAATAGCATATCACAAATCATATAGACAAACCGCCTATTGCCGTCATGAATTCTACTTATCAAGGAACTATTACATATTTCATTTGTCTTTCAGAAAACAGGGAAGTATAACTTATACTGTGTAAGGACTATTTCTAAAATGTTATATTAATTTATAACATGCAAAAGTAACTTGATATTGCGTCTGAATGATGTCGATACTTTTCTTATAAACCTAATAGTCAGAGTTTATTCTAATTGCAAAGGATAATGAATAAGTCTTGTAGTAGTCTTTTTGTAAAAGGTTCATGAACTGTTAATTTTCCTTAGGGTAATTTACAGCAATCGCAAAAAAACGAAAATAAATTTTTTTTGTATATCTTTGTGTTTCAAAGGTTTCTGAACATTTTGGCATACCATGAAAAATGGATGCGTATGTATATGTAATGTGCAGGTGTGTATGGAGCTAGAAAATTTCGTCGACGAGTTAGTGAACACTGATCAACCAATTTTCTTATCTCTGGATCAACCTATTTGAATGTTTAGGTTCATATTGATGAAGAGAGACGTGCAGATTAGTTTTTGGCAAAGGCAGGTCTAGCCGTTTCGAAGAAACGAGACAAAAATGCAAAAAATGGCAATTCAGTTTTATCAATTTATTTATTTTTTATCAAATATTCAAAGGTATTTTATCCACGGATTTTTAAACAAAGTTTTGACCGTTTCATTTTTATCAAATATTCAAAAATATCAATCCACGGATTTTTAAACAATTTTCTTGCCGTTTTATTTTTATGAAATTTTTAAATATATCAATCCATGGATTTTTTAAACAAAGTTCAGGCCGTTTTATTTTTATCAAATAATCAAAGATATCTATCTATCTACCATAAAGTGTGTAGGAATAAGTTTTCTCAAAGGTTTTTGCAATACTATTCCTTATGCTCTAAAATAATTATGGCAATATCGTCGATTAGAAGGGCGTTTTGCAGAGGGCGATAAGCGTTTGGGTATGCGAACAAAATCACTTTACCAGAACTGGTAAAACAAAACCTCCGGTAACGATAAGAACCAAATTATATTTCCTCAACGTTCTAGTTTTTCGGCATGATATATATACTACATTCGATACAGGCATTTTATTGTTATTTCAACAGCGTTCTAAACTATGCTCAGGATTCTGTTTTGATGTATTTTCTACAACCTAGTTTCTATCATTAAGCAACCCATTGGTTGTCCTTAATCTTTGTGAACAATTTTTCACTTTACATACTGGTTTGGAGCTTCTCCGTGTCTTCGTGGTAAAAGCTTGGTTTGTTTCTGGGTTTAGTATTCAATCGGACAGCTTGACGTCAAGTATTATTAATATATGCTTTAGTTGAAAATATAGATATGAATTTGATATCAAGAGGAAATAGCCGTTTTTAACTGCTTAAGGAATTCAATGTGTAATATTCACCACTTCGATTTTTTTCAAAAAAAAATCGAAAATCGAGAAAATATAATGTAACGGGTCATGCTATATTTTCGTTTATTGCTTTTTATTCGCCAACAGTTAAAAATATTAAAATTCCATTTTTGGTCGTTATTCTTGGCAAATCATAAGCTATCTACGCATATTTGTTTGAAGTTGCTATGTTATCGAGGCGCCGATTTTTTTTTTTTTAAATGTACTTTTTTTCGATGGCTTGAGCATTTTCTAACTCTAACTGGAAAGTTTAATGCCGAGATTGTTAACTTCCCGTAATGTAAGTTATTGTAATCGTCCAAAAATCAAAAATAAAAATTTTTACATTTCTAGACGTTTTGAAGGTTTCTGAACATTTTGGCATACCTCAGAGAAAATGAATGTGTGTGTATGCATGTATGTATGGATACAATTTTTCGGTGACGTTTTCGAGCGCACGGATTAACCGATTTGAACGGTTCAAAAAACGTTCGATTTCCATTGATAGGGAGATGTGCTGATTAGTTTTTGGCAAAGGCAGGTCCAGCTGTTACGGAGATAAAGAGCAAAGAGTGCAGATAATAGAAATCGAGTTTTTGAGAGAACGGAGCATCCGATTTGAATGATCTAAAAAACATTCAATTAGTGATGATTGGTAGAAGTGTTTATTAGTTTTTGGCAAAGGCAGACCCAGCCATTTCGAAGATACGGTGCTAAATGTGCGAAAAATGGCAGTTTTTGAGAGAACTAACCGTCCGATTTAAATGATTCAAAGAACTTTCTGCTTGTCCTAACAAAATAATTGGTTTTGAAAATAAAATTTTTGTTTCAACTTTTTTTTATTATTTTTTTTTCAATTTTTTTTATATCGAAAATAATTCTGATTTTATTTTTAATTCTGACCATAGTTTTAATATACTTTAAACAACTAATTTTAACTTTGCAATTCAGTTTATATTGTTATAAATATTAGACTATGTTACAATATTTATAATAATCTATTTGAAAATATTCAGTATTCCTCGAACATTTTGTTACGGTACGGGAAGTTTCAGCAATTTGCCTGAAGGCACGATGCCATGCCAATAGTTTTTTAATATTACAAACAAAATGAAAAAAATTCAAGATATTAAAAATGGCGCCAAATCCTAGACCATGTAATACAGGATTATATGGTCTAAGTACTAAAAACATTGGATGAAGTTGGTACCCCTTAAACAAGTGGCGTCATCTTCACGCGATATATTCCATATGTCAAAATGTTAAATTTAACTACATGGTTTTTATTGTAACAAAAATTAATTAATTATAGGAATTATATTAAATGTTAATTAACATAATTTACAAAGTATATTATTTACTGAAAGTATCTGTATGTGAAATTTGTTAATATTTGTGTTCAAATAATAACAAATTATTCATATAGGTTATATTAATAAGGTTATTTTATCAACACGTGTAAATTCTTATGTAAAATATTAATATAACAATTTCAATATGTATAAAAAATCAGTGATAAAATTCAAATTGCAAGAACTGACCGATTATGTGGAGGATCCAAAATCTTGTGTGAAATGTCTTCGGCGAAAACAACACCTCTCAGTTTTACCCTGGTGCTTAGAAGACTTAAAAAAATCTGTCGAAGGCATTTTAAATAGAAAAATAGCTCATTATGATAAATGGTAATAATTTGGAATAAATGAAATCTAAATTGCCATAAACTCCTTTGACACCAGCCAATTTTTATTATATATAATTTCAGTTTAGATGGAATCTTACTTAGTGCTAGAAATATCATGCTGCTGAGCTCATTAGGAGCATTACGAAATGACAGTCCTGAAATTCATATCGATATTGAAGCAGATTTCTACATATTTCAACCAGAAATAGGGAGCGTTCTTGAGGGAGTTGTTATCAAAAAGCATGAACATTTTATAGGATGCTTAGTGCATAGAGTTTTTAATATAACAATACCCAGAAATAATGAACATAATTGGCCGGGAAGTTACCTAGAAATAGGTAATAATGTTGTGTTCAAAGTTATATATATGGATTTTACAGGGAAAATTCCACATATCCGAGGTGAAATTGATACTAGGTATGAATATATTTTAATATTAATTTACTACATTATTGCTTAAAAACATTATTTCTATTCAAATTGTCTAAGCTTTGTTCTTGTTAATGGTTGTATATTTTTGTTTCAGTAATATGGAATATGAAGATATGTCTTTAAATGATTCAACAATGCATGAGGAGCATATTCATTTGAAGGAATCTAAAAAGAATAAAAGGATTTGTTTTGATGACATGCTATTGAATGAAAATGAAGAACCTGCTGAAATTAATCAATCCAATAGAAAGAGAAAGAAAAGTAAAAAACATAAAAAAGATTTATCTCCCATGGATGTAAATGAAAATGATTCTGTTATTGATGAAAGAGATATATCTGATGTGAATAAGAAACGAAGCAAAAATAGCAGTACTATTAAAGAATCTGAAATACAAACTGCAGTCTGTACACCTTCCTATACTTTGAATATAGATAAATACAAAAATATGAAAAGTCAATTACTGAGTCCTTCTAAAGTATCACCTGTTGTAGAGGCTACTTCTCCTTCAAGAAAAATTAATAGTAACAAGAGAAAACCCCGAACAGACAGTGAAGGTTACAATACTGAACCAGTTCACGAAGAAATGAGCAATTCAAAAATTTCATCAAGTAGTACCACTTCTGAAGTTAATAAGAGTAATAATAAAAGCTTATTGAAACGAGATTCCCTCGTGTCCAGCCTTTTAAATATGGCCAAAAATACATTAAGCACTACTAAAAAATTAAAGCATAGTATAATGCATGATGTCTCTGACAATAATGAGACAAGTATTGAACATCGAGCAGAAAAAATATCTAAGAAGAGGAAACTTTCATTAGAATCTCCAATTAAAGTTAAAAAGTTTAAGAAATCATTGTAATTAAATGTACATTACATTGAACTTTAAATGTAATATAAATTGTGACATGTTTCTTTGTAACAAAAATAATTCTAAGCAGATGAAATATTCATTTCAAAAATCCAACTGGTTTTCTTTTAGGTATATTTTCTTCTTTTGTAAGTGCTTCCATTAATGTATTGTGCATATCGAGACCTGCTTGACATCCTATTCGAACACTTTCTTTCAATGTTGTAGGATTTATACTCCCTGAACCTGCTGTTCTCATGCAAGTTATCTGTGTGGAATCGCCCCTAAAGGATACAAATATTATTTTCTATATAGCCCATATACATATTTTGAAGCCTTGAAAATATTTTAGCAAGTTTACCTTATTCCTATAACCAAACTAACAGCACTGCACTTCTCTTCCTCAGCACTTGGATCTACAACACAATGTTCTCCAATTTTGCAAAGAGTAATCTGAAATTTAAAATTATTAAAAACTTGCTTACTTACTTATATTATTCCAGAATACATAGATACTCTACCAAAAGTGGAGCATTTAAAACATTGAGTCTCTCGCTTTCATAAGGGTCATCAGAGAGTTGTAAATCTACATTGCCTCCGTCTAACACAGCAGCAGTTACTTTAGGGATTCGAGTATTATATAAAGCTCCTTTCACTGCTAAAGAAACAGCATCAAATAAATTACCACCGCATTCTAAAATCTGAATAACAATATATTTAATTTAATACCGAGTTATTTTATATAAGAAATAATGCTCATGTACCAAGATATCAACATAAAGTTTCCAACACTGATGACCAGCCATTATGCATAAGTCTTTTAAATTAAATGCTTGAGAACTATTATAAGCATGAGACAAAGTATGAGAAATTTCCAATCCCAATTCTTCGCCTCCTCTACCTTCAAATTCAGGTGTTGCATTTGCAGAACTTCATAGAAAATGACAAAAGTGTTAAGTGTGAAACAAAATATTTAAAATGTGTATGTAATACGCATACCAGTCTACAAAGAATTCGATTTTTCCTTCGCATGGTCTTTCCGGGAAAGGAATATCTATTTCAGTTTTTACTCCAACTAAAATGTCTGTATTTGCTAATCTCAATCTTGCTGAACCGCTAGCATGACTAACAATATCAGTCTCCAATTCCATGGGTCTATATTCTTGCCTAGTTCGTCCATCACAACGAAAATTTTCCTGAATATAGATAATTTGATCACCTTTGTGCTTGTACATTAGTAGAGTAAAACTAAAATAATTATGTTGCTCACGTCAACTCCATGTAATATAAAGGTTTTTTCGGCCTCACTTAATAATACGCCAGCCATAGTTTTAATTGATTAAAACATATTATTATTAAAATAATAAATAATTATTTGTCGTGATTACTACATGCACGCGCTTGTTTATGTTTGAGGTTAAGTTCATTATTATATTGTCATTGTCATTGTCATTGTCTAGAGTTAAGTATGCCAACATTAGCAAGTTGACCTACATTTCAAACTATGTCCTTACCTTTCACTTACGTGTTGTATACCCTGATGACAGGTGACAGGAGACCGGATGACACATACTCTTCTTTTATCTATGGGATGACACTTCAAGCAAGCAAGGTTTGTTGGTCGCTGTGCGCAATTTCACAATCCATTTTAATCTCAGCCATCGCGAGAAGAAGATCTTGGGAAGCCAGTAGAAACTCCAGTAATAGGAAGCCAGTGTACACTCAAGTAGTAGGTAAGTGCATTTGCCACATGTTTTATTTTGCAATTGTACCCTGTCAAAGTAAAAGGTTGTATGGCCGAGTATATATTAGTATTTTGCATTAGTCATTTTATGTAATGGGTTTGAGGATTATTTGTGGATTCGAAGCTTATGCAGGTGTTTACATGATCTTTCCCAAGGGTGCTACAAATACTCGTCACTACATAATGACAGATTTTATGACAGATCATCGATGAATATCGAGTGTTTTCATGCAGTTTAAGAAATCATTGAGAAAAGGACCATTGATATTGCTTTGATGCAGATGGTCATCTTTCAATTTCATTAGGGAGTTGTTTTAATGGTATATTTTCTTTCTATATTTGCCTATACCGCATCAATCAGAAATCTATCTGAATCGCCAACGAATACAAAATTTATTTGCTTAACGATCCTGGCTCGTGATGAACAAAAATAATTATGTCAGAGCATAATAATGTGATTCTATTTTGAAATTGTTGAAGGATTTCAATTATTCTCAAAAATTCTTTAGAAGTAATTCTTTAGAAAGATTCTATAGTGCTAATACGATCAATGCTTCTTATATGCAATATTTTGTAAGTAAATGAAGCTGCTGCATTAATTTTAATTTAATGATTTTGGAAACAAAGTACTTTTTACAATTGAATGTCACGATCACAATGAAATGTATTCAACATATTAAAAAAGATTTCAGTATTATAATTATTATTCATACATTTTAACATTTTTACAGCAGTTTGCTCTTTCAATTATAAAAGCCTCTGTATTTTTATACAATTCCCCTGATGACAAAAAAATTCTGTGCTGATTCTGATTTTTTACTTAAGACAAGATACGTGCAATATTTAATTTCAGATAGACATACAAAGAGTAATCCAAACTTAGTATTACATTTTATATTTCAGCTCTGCTATAAGATAGAAGCTGTCGACAATAATCAATTGAATTATAAAAAATAAGTCAACTCTGAAATGAGAATCCCGTATTATCCTACTAGCTTGCTTGCTGCAGTAGACTTCTTAGCTTTATTAACTATCGGTAAGATAACAAAACAAGCATTTCTTATTTCGTAAGATACAAGTCCAATTATTTTTGTTTTGGGAAACCTAGAGTATAATTATGCTTTTTTATACACTTATAAAATACTACAAGGACAAGATCAATACATAGTCTTTCTAGAAACATACTCTAAGCTTCCATCCTTAATTGTTAACTGACAATGCTTACAGTTCAAATAAAACATGTAAAACTAATCACATAATAATCATATCTCAAAATAATTAAATATTCAATATATTTGTACAAGATTTATTATATAGGCTCTGTATTGATACTTTTTTCTTGATACAGGTTGCTGATGAACCACAATTAAGAATGGCAACCCATAAGAGACGATATCTGCTGAAGGATCGAAAAGACTTTTCTGGAAACGCCTATTTATTAAACGGAATATGCCTAGAAACTTCAAGGTATGCAATTTATTTAATCATTTGCTTATTTATTCATCTTAATATTCTGATATCGTCATTAAGAATTTATTCATATTTTTTTCATTTTATTTAATTTTTTTTAATATATTTCACTTTCCATTATATTACAATAATGTGTAATAAATCTAGTTGGAGTACTAATAAATCACTCATAAATTAATTTTAGTCAAATATTTACACTACATCGCAAAGATCATGAAACGTGTCTTAAAATACCGCTTACAAATAGTTCAATTTTTTCATTATTGACTTACTCATTCACGAGTTTTAATTATTCATTTATTTATGCATACAATTGATATTTTTACTTGTTGTTTATTTTTATTTTTTTACTTACCCATTTAATAATTTAAGAACTTTTTGTAGTTCCTCTACGATTATTGTAATCGGCCAAAAATCGAAAATGAAAATTTTTGCATATCATCACGTTTCAAAAGTTTCTGAAAGTTTTGGCAAACCTTAAAAAAATTTGATGTGTATGCGTTTTGTTTGTGGATACAATTTTTTTTCTTATATGAAAAAATTTGTACTTTTTGAGATACCGAAGCTTTTGATTTTATTTTTGATTTCAAAATTTTGAGTCTTTTATAAAATACGAATAATGATAGTGACATTATTTAAAATAATCTATTTGAAAATGTTCAATATTACTTGGATATTTTATTACGTTATGGGAAGTTCTAGCAATTTGCCTTAAGGCACAACGTCATGAACCACTAGCTTGTTTCTAAACTTATGGATTTATACATTTATCTATTCTTTGTTTCAATTATTTTGTTTATTTATATACCTTTCATATCAATTATTCATTTATTTTTATTACTTATTTAGTTTATTCTTTTCAATTTTGCCATTTTTTCTATGAATTATTTATTTTTTTATTCATTTATCTGTTGTTTTTTAGTTTTATATATTTTTAATTTTAATTAAAAATTAAATAATAAAATTTGAATTAATTTTTATTTTATTGATAATTGTCTAATCGGACCAATTCGAATTTTTTTGCGCACGATGTCATTTTTGAGCCGTGTCAAGTGGCTCCGCCGGCGACTTGATTGGTGGGCTGCAACGCAGGAGGACCTTCAGGACCAAGGGAGAGGACCCAGGGAAGTACCCAATAGTAATAAGTGTGTTATGAAAACGAGCAAAATTAAACAAATCATTGTCGGGTTCTCATTCATTCATTCGCATTTGTATCTATTGTATTTTAATTTTGCGCAATTTCTTTTAACAATTGGTCACATTGACACTAGATTGTGAACGGCATACGTAGTTTGGCGCGATCGTATCTATTTGACAAATACAACTTCTTGCTATATAATCAATTTTCTAAGTACTGCTTTGTTAGCGTATTATGTAATGTCATGATTCAGATAATTATTTGCATGCTAATATAGTAGTTTGGGGTAGTAGAAAGTTATGTAGGTAGCATTCGTAGTTCTAGTTTTGACTGACACACTAACACAATAATCCACTACTAAACAAGAATGTAATAAACTGAATCATTCGACATTATGTATTACTTAATCATATAATCATTAAACTATTGTCAATTATAAACAACTGCTGCCGTTTGCAATCCATATAGCATTGCGCCAATTTATTATTATTCCGATATGCATAAGTTCTTACATTGATGCATTAACTTTTTTTTCATCACTTTTAGGGCGTTACAAAAAATTGTCCATGATACAAAAATCAAGGACCAAGTGTGAGCACTAAATGTTATCAATCCATGAAATAGTTTGAATCTGGGATTTATATATTTAATTTTAACCTGCAGATAACTTTACCTCCTTCAGTGTTATTTATCAAACATTTTAAAAGACGTGTTCCAATCTTTTGTTTTTTTAATTTCAGATTCAATTATCCACTTCTGAATCAAGAGCCCTCATAGCTTATAATCCATCAAACAGTAAGAACTTATCAAGTATCTATTAGGCAATCTGTATCCTTTATCAAACATTTTCAAAGACGTGTTCTAACCTTTTTTTTTTTGTTTATTTCAGATTCAATTCTCCTGCACCACTGAACTACCAGTCCTCATCGCCTTCAATCCATCAAACAGTAAGCACATATCAAGTATCTATCAGACAGACAGTATGTATCCTTTACCAAACATTTTCAAAGACGTGTTCTAATCTTTTTTTTTTTTGTTTATTTCAGATTCAATTCTCCTGCACCACTGAACCACCAGTCCTCATCGCCTTCAATCCATCAAACAGTAAGCACATATCAAGTATCTATCAGACAGACAGTATGTATCCTTTACCAAACATTTTCAAAGACGTGTTCTAATCTTTTTTTTTTGTTTATTTCAGATTCAATTCTCCTGCACCACTGAACCACCAGTCCTCATCGCCTTCAATCCATCAAACAGTAAGCACATATCAAGTATCTATCAGACAGGCAGTATGTATCCTTTACCAAACATTTTCAAAGACGTGTTCTAATCTTTTTTTTTTTTTGTTTATTTCAGATTCAATTCTCCTGCACCACTGAACCACCAGTCCTCATCGCCTTCAATCCATCAAACAGTAAGCACATATCAAGTATCTATCAGACAGGCAGTATGTATCCTTTACCAAACATTTTCAAAGACGTGTTCTAATCTTTTTTTTTTGTTTATTTCAGATTCAATTCTCCTGCACCACTGAACCACCAGTCCTCATCGCCTTCAATCCATCAAACAGTAAGCACATATCAAGTATCTATCAGACAGGCAGTATGTATCCTTTACCAAACATTTTCAAAGACGTGTTCTAATCTTTTTTTTTTTGTTTATTTCAGATTCAATTCTCCTGCACCACTGAACCACCAGTCCTCATCGCCTTCAATCCATCAAACAGTAAGCACATATCAAGTATCTATCAGACAGGCAGTATGTATCCTTTACCAAACATTTTCAAAGACGTGTTCTAATCTTTTTTTTTTTTGTTTATTTCAGATTCAATTCTCCTGCACCACTGAACCACCAGTCCTCATCGCCTTCAATCCATCAAACAGTAAGCACATATCAAGTATCTATCAGACAGGCAGTATGTATCCTTTACCAAACATTTTTCGAAGACGTGTTCTAATCTTTTTTTTTTTTGTTTATTTCAGATTCAATTCTCCTGCACCACTGAACCACCAGTCCTCATCGCCTTCAATCCATCAAACAGTAAGCACATATCAAGTATCTATCAGACAGGCAGTATGTATCCTTTACCAAACATTTTCAAAGACGTGTTCTAATCTTTTTTTTTTTTGTTTATTTCAGATTCAATTCTCCTGCACCACTGAACCACCAGTCCTCATCGCCTTCAATCCATCAAACAGTAAGCACATATCAAGTATCAAGTATCATCAGACAGGCAGTATGTATCCTTCACCAAACACTTTCAAAGACGTGTTCTAATCTTTTTTTTTTTTTGTTTATTTCAGATTCAATTCTCCTGCACCACTGAACCACCAGTTCTCATCGCCTTCAATCCATCAGACAGCAAGCGCTTATCGAGT